GGGAATATCCCATTATACTGGGACAGTGATCAGATTTGATTGCACCCTTTACTTTAGCTTCCTTTCCTTGATAGTTTTGAAACCAAATGCATTGTTTAGACTATGCCCAGACTTAGGTAAACAATGGTAAACCCATCAAGCCTTTGTCCTCCTATTGTTTGACTCATGGCCAGAAGGCAGAAATCGCCCTTAAAAACCCCTAGATTTTAGCAGACCTTGTGCTACCTTGGAAGTGCATGCTGAATCTCTGTTAGTCAGTGCTTTGAGATAGTTCCCGTGACCCCCCTCTTGCCGGTCGTGCCCCTTCCACTGAATCCATCCGCATTCACCACCAGAAATCCTGAGGAGTCTCTTGGGCGTAAGTATATCTTTCTCTATACTGTTTTCCCTCTCTGCCTCCCCCGCTTTCACTCTTTACCACTTATCCTTCTAGTGTATGTGTGGGTGTACCTTACTGGATGTTCACTTATTGTGTTAATAAACATTTCAGACTGTAATTTGGAGCTTGGTCCATCTCAGTGCCTTTCCCTGCCAGATTCTTAGAACTCCTGTAGACATTTGGTTAGATCTCGTGAAGTCACATTGGGAGTTTCACTCTCGCAATATTTGAGCTAATTATAATTTCCCCAAAATTAGGCTTGTTTCCCAACACACTAATATCTTTCACATTTATCAACAATAATATGTTTCCTCAATAAAAAAAAAAAAAAGATTTATTCTGATGGGATGGAGAGAAGAGACTTTAAAAAAGGAAGGAAGAAAAAGAAAGTAGATCTGGCAACTCTTTAGAGTTTGTAATCCTAAGGTGAACATTCTAAGAGAAGAGATCTTCAAATACATTTCACCAATTTCTTCTCTGGACCCCTGTGACCACAGAAAATCTACTCTGTGGGACTGGAACAAAATAACATTGTGTCATTGTTATGCTATTTTCTGGCCTAAAATTTCAGTTAAACTTTCTGCCACCTACTGTCACCTCCAGTGGTGTTTTTAACAATGTGAGCTATAGCTAAGATTCATGTTCAGCCTGCCAGCTTCTAAGGGCCAGTTGGCTAGCTTATTATTCAACTAATAATAGGGGAGGAAATTTCCTGGCTTTATAGACTACATTCAGAGAGTCAATTTCCTTTGCCAATCAATGGACAGATACAAATTTGAAAAGAACTGCAAGCAAAAAAGAAAGATAAAGCTAAAATGATATTAATAATAAAGTTAACTTGTATAATAAAGCTGCAGGGCTCGCTGTCCATTTCTTTGAAAATGCCTTTTAATGCCAGTTTTCCCAACACTACCAGGAGTCCTGGGCTTTCAGGAAGTGTGCTCCAAATGATGTTAATTTGATGTGAATTTCTTGAAAAGAACAGACAATGGCTCATTTCTAATCTTAAAAGGGGAACTAGAATTCTGAAAAGTTCCTTTGAAAGAACAAATATTCAGAGTTCTCAGAATGTTAATTAAGATCCAAATTAACTCCAATCCAAAATAGAAGTGGCTGATGACTTACAAGAAAAGGGCATCCCACGAATTCTGAAAGGGCATAAAGTGATCTCCAATATTATTGCTAAATGCTAATGTTAAGTGCATTAAACTAGTAACTAGGAAAGTAATGATAAAGCTTTGAATTTTTAGAGTAGTGTTATGTGTTTGCTTTACAAGTATCATCAGATTATAATATTTGGAGGAGGTACAGACTGAGAATTATTCCTAATTATTCTGATAGTAAGTCAAATGAGATGTATGTGTGGAAAATTCTATATAGATATAGAGGAAGCTCATATTCCATGGTTCTGTGAGTGGAATCTGAATCCAAAGATTGTGATGGATTCTCATTTCCACACAGGAGTTCTGCTGTTCAGGTTTCAATTTAGTATCTCTCCATTGTTTTGCATTGACCTTATTTTGGCCTCAATCCTATCAAATCCTCAGTACCCTTTGATGATAAAAAGAATGCTAGAGAAGCCTTCACTGATGTCCTTGTCAACTGCTTTCACCATCTATTAAAGCCTTAGAGAATGATGTGTTTTTATCTTCGCACAGAACATGCAAAACAGTGAATTGTGTGCCTCATCCTTTTTTCTCCTTGAGTCTCTTTCAGATTGATGCAGTGGCTTTGTGTCTGCAAGTGACCCAGGAATCAGGTGGCTGGAGTACAAGAGTTGTGGGGTAGGCAATCCAGTCCAGGTCAGTCTCAGGTTATTCAACAAGATGAAGGGAGAACCAAGACCCAGCCAGTCATCAACCAATCCAGAAGTTGTTACAGCAAGTCAGCAGCCCAGATAAGCAAAGCTAGCAAGGAGTAAAACAAAATCATCAATTGTAGCCAGTCTAATGTCAAGAAAACACTAATCCCGAAGAGTACTGAGTATGGCCAGCCACCAAGATAGAACAGTTGCAATCAACACACATGCTAGGGAGCTGCTGGTAGATTTAGAGGCAGCTATCTCAAAAAAGGAGATGCTTAATGAGCCAGCGTCTCCTGTTTAACAGCCACTGGAATTGGTGTAGTCACTCCTTATTTCATTGATGATATTGAAAGGATGGCAGTGTGTCCTCAGTGTCTGCAACTGAGAGTAGGGTGTTCCACTGTTTTAGCCGACAAAAAACTTTGAGGTGTGACCCTAGACCACAAGAAAAATTTTCAAAGGCACAAAAATCTAGGGAAAAAATAAAATGGATCAA